CATGATTTCGATCAGATTGCCCGCATGGGTAGCTCAACTGGTCATAGAGGTGAAACTTTGGAAGAATGATCAGGGATCGAGTCTCACCAGCGGCAGTGTGGGAGTCACCTCTCAAAGTGAGGGGGGCTTCTTGTGCGCAGTGAGCACCGGTCTAGCCTCTGTGGTTCATATTCAGTTGAGTCACCATGATTTACATCCGGGGTGTAGGGGGCCTTTAGGGTTGGGGTTCAGCCTTTGGAAGAATGATTCGGCAGTGTGAGAGCAACCTCCAGGGTGTGGGGGACCCTTAGGGTTGGGCTTCTTCCTTTTGGAAGAATGATTGGTGAAGCTAAGGTATCACTTTTAGAGTTTTAGGTAAATGGCAACTGTACTACTCCCAAATATAAGGTAGATGTGTATATAGAATTGTACACAGTTGAGTTTGAACTATCCGATTCGAATCAAATTGTATACTGTAGTAACTGAATTAAGATCGAAATTATACGGGCGATTCCGATTTTAGTTTAAAGTCGAAATGTAAATGGTTCTTATTTTGATTCTATAATTTCAAGAATCAGAATAACCAGTTTCAGTTTCAAATCGAACAAAAAAAAAAACAATTTTGCATTTCTAAAAATTGATCTTTTCAATTCATAGTTTGGTATTGTGAACCAAGTCTAGTTAATAACAGATTTCTGCGGGCATGCATATTTAAATTTCTATGAACACTGTCATATATTAGACAAACCTGTCTAGGTTGCATTCTTTTGTTCCTTTTGTCTGAGACATCATCAAAGTATACAGCACAACAGATTCCTATTATCTTTGTTTGACCCTCATACATAATTAACTCTAACCCTATTCTCAACAAGAACAGTCGGAACTAAACCATAGTCACCCCTACTCCCAACGAGAACAGTCGAAACTAAACCATAGTCAGCCCTACACGTATACACAATTAAGATAGAGTAAAAGTTATATATATATATATATATATATATATATATATATATATATATCAGTGTCTTACGGTGCGGTTATTTCTTACGGTGCGGCAACACCAATAGTTCACCAAATATGCACCATCAACGTTAGGAAATACACCACACAAAACAGAGTAAACAGAGCCCTGCATCACCAAACACACACCATTAGGTGTGAGTAAAAACACCATACACTGTTCGGAAATACACCATTGGGGGTGGTGAGTTATATAGTGTGTTTTTTTGAGTCTGTGGTGTATTTTGTGATGTTTTATTACATTTCATTGGGGTGTGTTTTTATTACACTGTTGGTGCATATTGTTAACACTGTTGGTGTATTCTGGAATTTGACCGCACCGTAAGACCCCGCCGCATATAAGCGTTCTTCTATATATATATATATATATATATATATATATATATATATATATATATATATGTTTAAAGGCAAAAATTTACGTAAGACCGCCTCACAGGTCTCAATTCGTGAGATGAGTCGAATATTTGATTAATAATGTTAAAGATCCGACCCATCTCACGAATTGAGACTCGTGAGACGATCTCACACAAGTGTTACCTATGTTTAAAATTTATGTTATTTTTTTCTATCCAATTTGATTATACTTGTACATTGTGATTAATAATTATTTTTTAAAACTTTTTTTAGACACATGTCCTTACACCGTTAATATTTTGTTTTCTTTTGTAATATTTTATTTACTCTTTATTTTTTAATGTTTATACTTTTAACAATGGTAATTTGATCATTTAAAAAATCATGATATAACTTTGGCAATAGCTTGACCACAAGCTCTTTAGCTATTTATATTATTATTATTATTATTATTATTATTATTATTATTTAACCAATGAAACATTAGAATAAATTTATTTCTCCTACAAACCAAACAATATAATAGATAGAGCACATATTTTATGCCTTATTTATTTCATTTTATATGGACAAGCTAGATTCATAATCCTCCAAAATCAAATGTTGTGAACTAGGAATAGCTCAATTAAGATGGCAAGAGATCCATACTTAAGGTCACGAGTTCAAATACTTGCCTCTTAGTTTGAGTCTGTCAACTATGAATAATCTAGACTCATTTACTTCACCAAATTAACTATTAACTATATGTAAAAAGTCGTAAAAAATTCAATCGATAATTTTTTTTTATATAGAAATTATATATAAATATATACACATACACACTAAGCCTCAAGAAACCGTTAGTGGTTACTGTCAAGTAGGTTTAAGCCTGCTTGGTGATGCATAGCAAAAGACTGAGATCTTATAGGTGAATGCCATCTTTTGTCTGTATGTTCCAGCACAGCTTAAGAACCCACCTAAAATATCCACAAATACAGAAATATAATGGGAAATTATCCTGTTAGTTATGGATTCTATTATTTAATTCTCAACTATACTTTATATTCTCTTTTCACCTTTGCTAAATATTTACTTTTTTTGACAACCTCAATTAAGTTGGACTATTGACTTGGTAGATATAATATTCTAAATTTGATTTTAGCGGGAGTTACCTAGTTTATCCCATTGTAGCTCTTTGTCATCTAAAGATTTGTAAGTACATACACTCAATAATGATGGCGAGTTTTACTTGTAACTCAAAAAAAAAAAAAAAAATTCACTTTTTGCTGCTGGGTAATAGTCTCAACCAATCCTCCCTTTAAATACCCAAGTCTGCTATTCTCATCATCAAGTCTTCTCTTCCAACTCTCTCTCTCTCTCTTTTCTCTTAAACACACAAAAGTCCCTGCAAATAGTCTCAGAACAAAACTGTTCTGATCTGTGTGTTTGGTTATGGGGGAAAAGCCAATGGATAAGCCAAAGCAGAAGCACAAGAAGGGCTTATGGTCTCCAGATGAAGACCAGAAGCTCAGAAACCATATCCTCAAGCATGGCCATGGCTGCTGGAGCTCTGTTCCCATCAATGCTGGTAACTTAACTTCATCATCTCAGCTCCCAAATCTTTTAACACTTTCCAATCTCCTAAAACTCTCCAGTTTTGATATTAATTATAGGATTCTGCTATATATATGCATCAAGATAATGTCAACTTATACTGTTTTTCCATTTTTAAGAACATGTTTAATGTAGTTATACAAACCTAAGCTTAATGCTGCATAGTTAACCTTATGCTTGGGGTTAACTCCAGTCAAATTCATCAGACTGTTGACTTAGTAACAAAAAAGTTACAAGTTCGCAGTCTATTGAGTTGATCAGTTATGGACAACCATCATTCTGTAATGACTGCGGGTTTTTCTTGTCATTCAAAAAAATGTTGCATAGTTAATTATTCCTATAAGCAAATAGCATAATACAATTTCAGGATAATAAGAATAATGATAATATACTAGAAAGGGCAATGGGGAATAATTATGAAAAACAAATAGGGAGACAGGAATGAAGTCAACTACAATAATATAATTTTGTGCCACCACTGAGATATTCACAGAAAGGGATTGATCATGACCTGTTCAAACCTACAAAACAGCATTACATATGTTTGACTTATGCTTTGTCCTTAATTAACTATGTTGTTGTTGTTGTTACGTTGCAGGTCTGCAGAGGAATGGGAAGAGTTGCAGATTGAGGTGGATTAACTATTTAAGGCCGGGGTTAAAGCGAGGGACGTTTAGCTTGCAGGAAGAAGAGGCTATCTTGGCCCTTCATGGCATCTTAGGAAACAAGTAAGAAACCTTGGAAAAACTTGCATTTATAGTACACGGAACCAGCTTGGTTGGTGTGAGTGGGCGTGCACTCTCATCCCTTAAGAGATGTGATCAGCACTTTGTTTCTTAATTGATCGGCCCGGTGTGAACCGGGATTAGTCTGAGTTTGGTACGGACTTAAAAGTGTCTTCTACAGTTAGGACCTGCTCGGGACACTTCATGGTCTGACAAAAAAAAAAAAAAAAAAAAAAGTTAAATTACAAGTCTTTAGGTTTTGGTAGATGATTATATAAAGATTTGACTTTAATAAACTTGATTTGTAAGCCTTCACCAACTTAGCTAGGGTGTTAATTTCTAAAAATCACACAAGAAATTCATTTTCTTGCCCCTAGGATCGGACCCCCACACACAAGATTTGTGGATGTGGTAAATTACAGTAACAGCTTATTAGGTGGGAGGACCAGATACAACTGCACAAAGAGCACACCACATTAGGTGTGACTCCTCCACTACACTACGACTTTCAGGGTTTAATTCTGCGTCCTTGCCCACAATTTGCGGGCAAGAAATTCGTTTTCTTGATTATACAGTGATGCTGGAAGCATCTAACAGAGGCTGTTATTGATTGGCAGGTGGTCTCAGATAGCTCAGCATTTGCCAGGGAGGACTGATAATGAGATAAAGAACTTCTGGCACTCTTATCTCAAGAAAAAAGTGTCAAAAATGGCAGAAGCTGAAAGGAGTATGGAAAATGGGGAGTGTTCAGTTCACTCTGTGAAGTCAACTTCCCAGAGTTCTGGTCTGGATTCATTTGGACAAATGGAAGGATCCTTAGCAGACACAGATGAATCCATCCCAAACAACCTGGACTTCCCCAAAACAGCCCAGAAAAGCAATTTGCCTAAGGTCTTGTTCGCAGAGTGGCTCTCACTCGATCAGTTTAATGGACAGGATAATTTCCAGACTGCAAACCATGCAGTTCTTCCTAGGAATAACTTTGGGTACAATGGCTCAGAGCTTCAAGATCCATTCATGCACGGATTGCTGTTAAACGAAGAAACGTATGGCAATGGCATCCAGCCAGTGCTTAACAACGCGACAGTTGATGATATGTTCCAACCAGAACTTAAGTTTGAGGATCAGATCACAGTCTCGGGATTTGCTGAGTTTTTCTCAGGAGGATTCAACGTAAGCAGCAACGATATAATGTACGATGAACTGTACCTTAGAAGAAATTTCAGGGAAGAATAACGAACTTCTAAGTTCTAATTACACTGTTAGAGATCAATAATGGAGAGAGGCAATAAAACACGAAATCAATTATGTTCAGATTCAGAATATTGAAAGTCTGTAAGAAAAAAAGGTCTAATTAATTCTTCTGTATCTATCTGTACACATTCAAATGCAATAATCTGAGACCTTAAACTAGTTGTATATCTTTTGCATCATTTCATTGGAAGCAGTACAACAAAACAACCTTAAAAACCAGTCATTGGAATTCTTCCCTGTGAACAGAACTGCTCCACAGGAGAACAACAGTAACCACAACGAGGATAGTGACCGGTGTCCATTTCAGAGCAATGGTCTAATCAGAAAAGAACAAATGTTAAACCTTAAACAGGGTTATGAACCTTAGTATCATATATCATCCATACAATATTCTCGCGTACCTCAAGCTTTTTAGACCCCCAGATTGGAGAATCACTCAGATTGGCGGCCATCATAGTCTCCAGCATATCTGGTAGCAATGGTCAAAGTGAATTCCCACACTGGACATTATGAAACTGAAGAAAACAGGAGCAAGAACATAAAGATTGAATGGTAATTAGTCGATCTAACCAAGCCTTCGCCTTCGGTTTACTATTTCTGGCAAGTCTTCTGCAATGACATCAAGATCTTTTTCACCAATTCCAGTTTTCAGCCTGGATATATTTGCCTGTGTCCTTGTATCAACATATTGCCTTCTGATATTACCAATGATGGTATCTGCAAGGCAAAATGGTCAAATTCTGTGTTCTTTTCTGGCCTCAAACCATGATTTCTCAGCATCAAATGCCTCTCAGCTAATTAGAATAAGCATCTAAAATGCTATAACCAGCAAAGGACAACAAGGAGGTAAACCAGTCTAGGTTGCTCATAGCTGTCTGACTCAAAGCAAGAGGGTCAATAAACCTCTCAGTCGAACTTGTAATCTTGTAGTTACAAGTCAACAATCCGACCAACTTGGCTGGGTTGTATAAAAATAAATAAATAAATAAATAAATAAAAGCTATATTTTGATGCTCAGTTACCAAGTTTGAGAAAGCTATATGGATTGACAACTCTCTCCATTTGCCTCCTATCTAGCTTGTCAAATTCCTGCTGTAAATCTTGGAGGTAAAGGAATGCTAGCTTTCTTGGATAGGATGAATCACACAGTGCCATGAAACAGACTCCATTTGCAACCATTATCCTTCAAACCACATTGGTAAAGACAGAAGAAATAGCTCAAAGGAAATTGGCAGATCGGAGAAGATAAGCTATCAACTAATTGCATTTCCTGTTTGCTATCCTATGTTGGATCATGGCAATATAATCCTTAAAAGAGTACTATGATCAATGGAGGCAATCTATTGAGTTGATAACATTACAAATTCGATTCAAAGAAGCAGCCTATTGACTTTCTTGTTGTGTCTGTCAGTTGGTTTACCTTCTTGCGATCTTTTGACAGTTAAAGTTCAAATGCGGGATTTACTCAGTGCAGACGGGTTTGTTTTTTTACTTTAGTTAAAACAGATGGGATATGGTTATGGGTACCAATAGCATGATTGAGCAGAGAATTGGAAATGCAGATTTGTTGGGAAAATTAAGGAATATAGAACCTGAAGCAATGGTGGTCCACACGGATGGTCATCTTGGAAGAAGAAATCAAGTCTCCTCTTGAGATTTCTTTGAGAATGAACTCTCCTTGTTGCTTGTAAGTGGTGAAAATCTCATTTTCTTCATGCACATATCTTGGACCTTTGGCAAGCGGCAACCCATCACTCACCCGTCCAATTATCGTCAACTTCACCATTCCAACTAGGTGCAATAGAGATGACAACGTAAATCAGACTAAGTAGAGATGACAACGTGAGTCAGACTAAGGGTTAGTTACCTACTTACCTTAGCCCAAAAAGACTAATATAATTACTTTTTATTTAAAGATATGGTAATGTGGACTAGACGTCTCTGTACCACACTTTTCCTTGTTCTTGTTCTTGATTGGGATTGGTGAAAATGTCAGGAGAAGTGTGAGATTTTATAGTGAGGGGAAAAATGAAAATGGGTGGAAGGGGGCAAGGAAATGAAAAGAAAAACTTGGTAATGAAGGTATTCTTTAATTTGTGTGATAAAAAGCATTTCGTACGTCTAGAAAAAGCTTGAGAAGATCCAAAGTGGTGGCTTAATAGGAGGAACAAAACAGAAAGATAATCCAAGGTTGGATGTTGTAAATCTGTGGTCCACAAGAAAGTGGGCCAGCGTTGACACTCATAATTTGGGTTCAGACCATTAAGGGAGTAAACTTGGCCCCCAAGTAAGTGGTAATAATCAATGAAACTCTGAAATCCGAATACTAACCGTTTGGTCGTAAAAAATATTTAAAGAGAAATAAAATTCATATTTTAAAGAAAAATATTGATTTCATTATTTGATTGAAGTTGAAATGATAAGGAATAATGAGTATAAAGACTAAAATATTTCTTTATAATGATAATGATAATAAAAGTAATGGATAAAGTACAAATAAGTCATTGAACTATTTGGGAAAGAGCAATTAAGCCATCGAACTCAAATAACCCTCAAATAAGCCATTGAACCCGAAAAAAAAAGAGCATTTTTAACAGGTTACCTTCCCACTTTTGCTGACTGGGTTGCCACATATTTATTTTATTTTATTTTTTATTATTATATTATAATCTACATGGATTAATTTTAAGCAAATTTTCAAATTAAATATCCAACCCTAATTGGACTAGATGGGTGTTTTCGATTCAAAATACTACATTGTAACAGAGTCAATACTACAAAATACACACACACACACACACACACACACACACACACACACACACACACACACACACACACACATATATATATATATATATATATATATATATATATATATATATATATTCATCGTAAAGTCAACGCATATGTCAACTAATTGACGATGTGATAAGCCCCTAAACTATATTTTAATCATAGGAAGTAATTGACAGTTTACAACATTACATCGCCATAGTAATCTGTAAAAGATTGATGTTGGAGAGTACATAATAATAAGACTGGAACAGTCGCCGGGAAGAACATCTCCCTAAATTATCTCTCCCTTAAACAACCCTTTAAGAAAACACCCATCTAGTCCAATTAGGGTTGGATATTTAAATTAAAAATTTACTTAAAATTAATCCATGTAGAGTATAATATAATAATGAAAAATAAAATAAAATAAATATGTGGCAACCCAGTCAGCAAAAGTGAAAAGGTAACCTGTTAACAATGTCAATTGCTCTTTTTTTTCCGGGTTCATTGGCTTATTTGAGAGTTATTAGAGTTCAATAGCTTAATTGCTCTTTCCCAAATAATTCAGTGACTTATTTGTACTTTATCCCTAAAAGTAATAGTGATTTTTAAATTAGAATATTATTATTTTAAAAAATACAATATCATAAATTAAAATATTATGATTATATATCTTATGATAAATATAATAAAAATTATTATACACATTTTGGTCTAAGGTAATTAAGAATGTTTTATAAAGGTAAAATAGTTCTGTCATTTGATACTTTGTTCCGAAGTTTAATGGAAAACAAAATACCACCTCTCCCCTTAGACATTTTTTTTCCTCAAAACTAAAGAAAACCTTTTTCATAATTCAAACAGAAAAAAAAAATCTAATTTCCTCAAATTTTTTTTTTAAAAAAAATCCTTGAAAATATTTTTCATTCAACCAAACACCCCTAGAAGTTTAGAATTTAAACTTTCACACCCAAAAAAAAAAAAAAAAAAAAAAACAAAAAAACAAAAAAATTAACTCAAGACTCAAAAAAAAAAAAAAAAAAAAAAAAAAAATCGGATTGATTTGCAGAAAAAGACTCATGAGTAATTGAATTTATCATGAAAATAAACAAATAATGCACATTTCATATTCTATTGTCTGGTGATGAACTTTTTATATTATTATTAATCATTATTATAAAGATTTAAATATTATTAGGTATTGATGGGGTCATGGGATGCTCATTTTATTATGAAAGTCTTGGTTCAAGTGGGGATTGTGAACTTTTTTATATTATTATTAATCATTATTATAAAGATTTAATATTATTAGGTATTGATGGGGCCATGAGACGCTCATTTTATTATGAAAGTCTTGGTTCAAGTGGGGATTGTGAAGGAAGGAGGTTGGCCCAAAAAAGCACAAGGGAGGAGAGAGAAGTAGTCGTCGAGAACAGAACCACCAATCGAGTAAAATATTAAAGAACTATTGTTAACAAGTGTCAAACCCAAGACTTCCAACACACATGTCCCAACCCACTAGGCCGCTCCATCTCTCATGTATTAAAGCGCTACAGCTTATATTTATTTCGACATTTGCGGGATGACAGATTGGTAAGCCCGACCATTTCGGCCCTCTCCGGCCATGGCATGGCCGGCGGGGGTGGTGCGCCACATGGTGCGACAATGGCTCCCCCACTTGAAGGGGGTGCAATGTTAATGGTATGTATGTAAATCTTCATGGGGAGCATGCTGGTACAAACGTGGGGTGGTACGGGCACGTAGATGAATGGCATGGCATGGACACATGGAGCATGGATAAGGAGGACAAACTATGACCATCCACTTAGAAAAGACATGGGAGCTCTTCCACACTATAAAAGGGGATGTCGTACCTCCTTTAGAACATTACAACCTATTAACAACAAGCCTCATGTTTAGTGGTCTCTTGTCTATACTTTCAACCCATTCACTTGGTTCAACTCCCAATGGCTACAATATTATTCTAGTCCATTATTTGGTCTATCTACAACTTGTATTAATAATTTTTTACTTGGACCGCCATTTTGGACTAGTATCTTGGACTTTGTATGAATTCTTTTGGGCCTAGTTCCCTAAGCAATAATACTACTATTTTTCTACTTTCGTTCTATACCCTATTTATGGTGGACTCGGGCTTGAAAAACCATCAAGTATGATGGAGAATGACCTTTCGGTCCAAAGTCAATGATACTCAGGGATTAATTAGATCTAGGATGATTGAAAGTCATTGCTAAGGTTCAAGGGACTTATGTAAGAAGTGAAGAGAGTTAGACATGCAAATTGGCTAAGAAGCAAAGTTAAGGGGTGAGTATAAGACTAAAGGTTAGGGGTAAAAGTAAAGAATGACAGAAAATTTGGAAGTCAAAGTGCGACAATGCATAAAATATTGAGTCCCAATGTGTAAAGACTAGGAAAGGGGCAAATACAGAGGGTTTAGAGGGCAATTTGGAGGAGGATCATGGTGTGGGCGATGGGGTGTCATTCGTGCCCCCCCCCCCCCCTCCCACCTGGATGACAAAGATGTTGATTAGCCTCTTGTGCCCTACTACAAGCGCGACTGGGGATGGCAGGGACAAGCGACCAACACTAGTGACCGCCAGTGGATTTTTAGGCCCTAAGGGTGTCTGAAGGGAAGAGTAGTGAAGGGTGGTCAAATAGCGATGATGGTCCAAAATTGTGAGAGTTTCTTATTAAATTGTTTCCCGTTATTTCTGACTCCAAAAATACAATAAATAGGGGGTATTGGTTTGCCTTTAAACATCATCATCTTCTCAACAAGCATTTAACTTCTCTGGTCCATTATCTTTTTTCCTTTTTAGGCAACTTTTCTAATTTGTCTAAAATTTGTATAGCCCTTGTGGACCTAGATTTGAGCATAGTTATTTAATATTATATTAACAATGAATCGAAAAGGGCATTTGCAGTCCAACGTCTTATTCATCAATTAATTCTTGTAGTCATTGTTTAAAATATCTCTTGACAACCCAATTTCATAATAAGCTCAGTCCAATAAAATAATTAGTATAATAACAATATGTTTTTTTTTCTCAAGCATTGATGTGGGATTCAAAATATAAAAGAGACTCATAGAATTTCAATTCCTCAAACTTTAGGAATTGAAACTCCAAGCAATTTTTTTTCATACCAACCAAATATGGATTCACAAATTGAAGAAAATGAATTATAATTCCTTACAAAACCTTATATTGGGCAGAATGTTTTGCATACAAATAAAAAAAAAAAAAAAAAAAAAAAAAAAAAAAAAAAAAAGTAGAACTTTTTTTTATAATTCTCTCTTGCGTACTCTCCCTAAAATTCAGCCTAGATTCCTTCTAAATTTTGCAGTGTTATTTCTTTGTTCAAGTTCGCTGAGAACGTTTATATTTGAGTCTTAAAAATATATATATACATCAATAATTTACTATATTATGAGATATCGACGCTTCAACGCTCCTAACACATTTTAAAAGAAGTGAATCAGTTTTAATCATTGTGTATGTGACGCACAAATTAATTAGGTATATTATATCGTGACTGAACTTGTAAAAATATATTTTAAAATTAAAATTCCTATGCGCTCACATAACTTACAATTTACAAGTAATTTAACTCTTTGTTGTTTTCCCAAAAAAAAAAAAAAAAAAAAAAAAAAAAAAAAAAAAAAAAAAACTCTTTGTTTCAAGAATATGACTTTGGCCATTTTGGATAGTGTGTACTATTTGGAAATGATGGCGTTGTTCCCATGAGCCAGGACCGACGCGTCAAAGGGGTTTGACTGGGGACGGGGCCTGACACCCTTCGACTTCATTTGCCCATCTTTTCTCACCTCTTAACTTGTAGCACACGTCCCCAACACTTTCACCATTTCACCTTCTACCCTTCAAAGTAATACTCCGTATAATATTTGACCGCTCACACATATTATTAAAATAAAATTTATAAATTTATTTTAGGTTAATTGATCAGTTGTGTCATAAAAGTTAAGAATAATATATTTTATAAGAGTAATTTTTAAGGTGGAGTTTTTTCTTCAATTTTTGTAGGCCAAACGGGAGAAAGAAAATAAAGAGGAAAAAAAAAATTGTTGTCAGACAAAAAAAAAAAAAAACTCAACTTATGCCCCCGCTAGGCGTAGCTGATGTGCAAAGCGTGCACTAACATGAGTAATTTTTGTTTTATAAAATTCTTTGAGGCCTAAAAAAACTATATATACTACAAATGTGTGTGTTTTTTCTCTCTTTCCTCATCTCTCTCTCTCTCTCCTAAGTCATTCTCCCTCTCTGTCAATAATGCAGAAAAATTTCAAAAGAACCCTTGATGGGGTTACTCTAACAATATGATATATCAAAATAAAAAGAAAAAAATCACATTTTTCATCATTAAATTATAAAAAATAATACTTTTTTTTTCTATCAATTTTACTTGTTGTCACTCGAGTTTTATTATGATTAGATTAAAAAATTAAGTTTACAAACAATTGGAGTGGGAGAAAAAAAAGTGTTATTTTCCTATATTTTAGAGACAGAAAGTGCCATTTATCAAATAAAAATAATAATAAAATAAGTGAATCATCTTTTAAAATAAATTATCAATTAATACAACAATAAATTACTTATAAAACTACAGGTGAATATAAAAATTTATACATTATTTTGAGAAAAACTAAAAATATGACAAATAAAGTGGGACCAACAAATTACTAATCAGTTTTAGGGATAATATGGAATTATGAGTAGCACTAGCAGTGACCAATGGACCATTATGGTTAGGCATCTAAAATCGTGCAATAACAAAAAGAAATGCCATTAGTATTGCGATTGGTAAGTTTAAGATAACACGGCTTTAATGGGAGTTTTTTTTTTTTTTTTTTTTAGCTGGTAAGTTATGAATAATTTAGTCTCAGTTATTTGCCTTTTACTTATTATGATAAATCGTACTTTATCTAAAGTGTACATTTAGGTAGCGGTCTCAAATTTTGCTGTAAATCAAAATTTGATAAATATAAAAAATAAATTTTTATTTATGACATATAGTGGCTTTCTCAAATAGGAAGTTATGCATTTGAGCTGCAGTGGAAGCGATAATGACTCTTTATATTTTAATAGGTTGAAAAAATAGTTATGAACAGATATTACATTATAAGTAATAGCACTAAAAAAAAAAAAGTTTTTTGTATTTTGTTTATGTGTGTGTATATATACTGCATAAGTTGAATTATCTTTCTGCAATCTTTACATGCTCAGAGCACACTGCACATGAAAGTATGAAAAACACAACCTCACTCATCTTCTTCCTTCTTTCTTGTTATCAGGGTAACTAGTTTTTTCTGCATCCCCCCACCCCCCCCCCCCTCCCCTCCCCTCCCCTCCCAGCTCTCCACCTCTCTCTCTGTGACTCTGTGTCTATATATGTGTGTGTATTTATGTACTTTAATTTAAGTATTTATGTACTTAAATTAATCAATTCCATGCAAAATGAAAAGCTAAAACATCTGTGGGTGATTATGAGAAAGTACTGTTATGGTATGGTCTGATTCTTGGATGAAAAGATTGAATTTTTATTACCTTTTTCAGAGTGTGACAATGATGGATTCAATATGGTGTGTGTTTGCTCTGATCAAAGGGGGGATATGGTTGCAATAAAGGTGTGAGTACACAATAAATAAGGGTTTATAATTGCATGGTGCTGTGGGTTGAAAGTTTGGGAACCTAAGTGATGGTGGTGATAATGGTGGCTTCCATTATTGTGTATGTAACTCTGTTGCATTTATGGTCTTGAGATTTTGTGTTGGCCCTTCTTCTGCAAATCACTATTATCCTCTGATCTCTCTTTCTCTCTCTCTCTCTCTTGCTTTTATCACTCCTCTGTATAATCATAAAAAGGAGGGCAAAAAGTTTCTCTTATTTATTTCAAATCCCCTCTTCTTCTTCTTCTGAAAAAGTGTTTTTTTCCTGGGAATTCATGGCTGCTTGAGTGAAGGTGAAGAGTGGAAAGAAGGAAGAACTGAAGAAGCAATAATGGGAAGAACACCATGCTGTAACAAGGAGGGTTTAAGGAAAGGAGCATGGACAGCTGAAGAAGACAAGATTCTTGTTGCTTACATCACCAAGAATGGACATGGTAACTGGAGATCTCTCCCCAAACTTGCAGGTTTGCTTTTCATTCTTCTTATTTTGAGTGTGATTTTCGCATTCTTAAGGTTAGGGTTTACCTTGTATTGTACCATGATTGAAGCATTTTCTTGGGTAAACATAAATGTTTCAAATATATATACAGAATAGAATGGATCTTGATTAGACGATGTGATAGAAGTTTTTTTAAAAAATGGCCTCTAAAAACGGTAGGATTAGACTTCCTGTAGGTAAATCCAGCCTTGTGACCCTTATCAGTAAACCTGTCTGGGTTGTCTATAGTTGATCGGCTCAAACCAACAAGGCCAATAGGCCAAGAAGGCTGATCAACCAGTTAACATATGCTACAAATCAAGGAACTAGAGAACAAATGTAGATTAGTTAAATTTGAAAGCCTGAAAGAATGGTAATGTAACCCATAGTTGATCCTTTCTTGGAGTTATGGTTACAGGTTTGCTCCGATGTGGGAAGAGTTGCAGGCTTCGGTGGACAAACTATCTTCGCCCTGGCATTAAGCGCGGGCAATTTAGTTCAGAGGAAGTGGATGCCATCATTCAACTCCATACTGTGCTTGGTAACAAGTATGTAGTCATTATCTGCACTGTATTGGCCAAACTTTAATTTTTGTGTTGTTTTTCTATCAGGTGGTCTGTTATAGCCTCCCATTTGCCAGGAAGAACAGACAATGATATAAAGAACTTCTGGAACTCGCATTTAAGGAAGCAGAGAAGTGATCCTAACCATCAAAACCACCCGATCCCTCATCCCCATGGCAACATTGATGAAAAGGTACAGTGGGAGAGTGTATCCGTTGCCCCGTCCCTTCTCGATCTGCCACCAGCAAGTAAAATGGATCGCGACCCCTTCCTGCGCCTGTGGAATTCTGAAGTTGGAGAAGCGTTTTGCGGTTTCAAGAAACCGTTTGGAGTGCCATGCCAAAGCCCGGTGTCTTCATCAAGCAAATTCGAGTCGAGTTCTGGGATCACACTGCACTCTCAACCTGCTGCTTCAAAGCTTCTTAGCTCTGCTGACACAGTTGAGGAAGAAGAAGAAGAAGATACTAAATCCTATGAACTGATCGATCCCTCGGAAACAACACTGAAGATACTACTAGATTTTCCTCCCGTTGTAAACGACATGGGATTCTTCCAAGGACCAGGAGACAACCTCTCCATTTACCTCCAAAACTAACTGAGAATCCGGCCTGGAACTTAAACTACACGTACTTTTTGCTACAATCTAATCTAAGTTAAGTAGCTTCCTGTTTTGGTCTTATAGCTGATAGGGCAATGATCATAGCAACCTAGTATAGAATGAAACATGCCACACAGAATGAAATTAAGGTAGAGTAAAAGGTATGTTCTATGTATGCTATGTGAAATGCAACTGGATTCAGATTATACATGGATATGTTTACAGTTTGTCTATCTTTGGGTCTCTCTTATTTTTCAATGTTATATACATTCATATAATGTTATACAGCATCATAATAGGGTAGATTTTAGCAATCTGCAATTGTTTCTAGACCATATTAGCACATAATGCTGAGAATAAAGGGATCCCTGACAGAGAAACTTGATGGGAATTTGTGTTTCAGAACAATCCAAGAAGTTTGTTTGGAGCAGTTCCAGTGGCATGATATTTTGCTGCCATCTCCTCTGCCTTGAGAATATCTTCCCCGCGTTTCGATTCAGTCGTTGCTCTCTTTTCTTCTGCTGATTTGTGGATCATGGCAATCTTGTTCTGCAGTTTTTCAATGCTTTCTGCCTTCTGTCTCTCCAGTTTCTCCTGTTCATTCATAAATGGATCTAATTTAATGCCAGACATGACATAAACAAGGAAGACTGAGTAATTTCTGCAACCTCAATCTTGTTCAGCTCAGATTCTATGTTGGCTTTCTTGCTCCTCTCCCATGAACCGATGGCAGATATCTTCTTCTGAGCTCTGTCAGATGATCGGTTTAGTTAGCCACGATTCATAATGCATCCTAGAAAACATAGAAAGATGGATGTTTGTCCTACTTGTTTTGGGCTTTTGATTTCTCAGAATCTTCCCATGCATTGATGAGGGACATGTTCTTCTCCATTTTTAGTCGAGCCAGCATTATATCTGAAAATGTTTTGTCAGATTAACAGATTTGAAGAATGAAGATATGGCAATTGAATAATCAGGATTATTACCTCTATCACTGACAGTTGCATTCTCCTGAGCTACATCTCCCGGAGGCTTCTTGGCTTCCCCTCCAGCCATGACTACAGAGAATGAATCCACTGAAACACCAGAAGATTTGAAGAAGAAGACAGGTACGGTGACAGCCATTTATGCACATGCAGGTGAAATAGGCCCTTTCCTGAGTTGGTAAAAGGTGGAGTAAAATCAAAGTCAAAGAAAATTGTATACACTACACAGTACAAATATTTGTAACACAAACTCAAGAAAATATTGACAAAAATTAAATTTATAATTGTTTAATACAAAAATTTATTTAGCCACTTTTTATGATGTGATCATCATAAAAAGTGCATTCCAGATAACAATCATAGGTTCGAACTCACAACCTTTCAAATGAAAATCCAACCCGAGTACCATTAAACCACATAGTTTTAATAGATAACAATCATATTTGATTGTTCATTCATTAATTGATTTAATATGCATAGCTCTAAGTAAAAATCATATTTTTCTATGGGATGGGCACTACGAAAAGTGTAAATGAAGACCATATTTAATCATTCATTCATTAATTGAATGACACTCTAATGTACACAACACAACAACTCTTATAAAGAACAGAAGTTATAGTAATTTGAAATTACCAAATTAATTATAGGATTAACTTAGGTAGTTTTGACCTAGCTAAGAAATCCATAATTTGAAGTTAAGAAGTAAGCATGGAGGGTACGTGCAGTGGACGACATTTGTCCTCATTCTTCCTAGCTAAGCTAGCTAACGATGAAACGAGACGAGGAAGCATCGTTATCTCCCGGGCTAATGATGTGTGCGGCAGTTATGATTAAAACTTCAAGAATATATCCAGTTGGATCCTGTGACGCCCTGCCACGACTCCATGCTAAACACGTGTGTCCTTCTAAGGCTGCCACCGCCATGCATGGCCACCTTTTATAAACCCCTTCTCACCGCTTCTCATTCACTTCACAGCTAGCACAGACTATCTGATCTTCAAACCAAAACAAATTTGCAATGGAGTCGGCACAGTTGCACCGTCCACACGGAGGAGTGGAAGAACAACCGCCCCAGAGAGGCGGCGGCCTGGTGCGTTCAACAGGTGATATATGACACTACAATTGCTCTTTTCAATTCCATTCGTTAGTTTTTGTTAAAAAATTTAGTCAAATTGTGTGGTGGGCAGTGATGGAAGAGGAAGAGCAGCGTGGTCCGGGCCAGGATTATGATGAGCATCATCACGAGAAGAAATCGGTGCTGAAGAAGGTGAAGGCCAAGGCCAAGAAGATCAAGAACACGCTTACCCACCACGGTCACGGCCACGAACACGAACATGATCGCGACGATGAAGAGTCACTCGAAGATGACGACGATGAAATGGAGGAAGACCCAGACGTCCATGGTGGTCACTGTATGTTCAATCCCCTTTCAACTTTTCCCGCCCCCAACTGCTGAAAATTATGAAATTTCTGAGTACCTAAAATGATCTTAAATCAAGTCGAAAGTAACAAGTGGTCAGAAATAGCAACAAAGATTTGTTCGAATACCAAAAGTGGTTGGAACAAGACTTTCGACTTGATTTAAGATCACAGGTGGTCGGAAATTTAATAATTTTCAGTAGGTGCCCATTTCTCTATAACTTCAATTCACCAAAAATCTGTAATTTTCTCCTTTACTAATGTCTGCAATTCAGTTGGCGGTGATGGAGGCGGTGCAGTTACCAGCACAGTTATCTACCACAAAGTTGTTGATGATTCTAGTCGTCCTCTGGAGAACCCAAGCGCCAATCCGACTTATCCTGATAAGGATTATCATGGTTCAGGGCTTAAAGACAGAGGAGTTTTCCGGCGGGGTGAAGAAGACGACACCAGGCAAACAACCGGGGGAATCAGCCGTGTGCAGCCTTTACATAACCGCCCACCACCATTTGTGTCTGAAACTCATCATCAGACTTCCGGCCATGGCAGAGGAGATTTTTTGCAGCCTGGGGGTCTAGAGGAGGATCCTCATGCTCCGTCAGACCGTCCCAGACCACCTTCAAACTATGAGAGTAAAACCTTTGATCCTACCGGCGCCGGTAAGCCCAAATTCCTTAACTTTTGTGTTATGTTCAGAACATTATGCCTATTTGATCCGGATCCTATAATCAATATGAGTCTTCAATTAATTAATTTTTGTAACAACTTATTGAAAAATTTTAAAAACTGCTCAAAGCAGCTTTTTGAGAAAGTCATTTTGTATGTAATCAGCTATTGACTAATAGCTCATTTGCTAAATAATTTTTTATCATCAGATAATATTATCAACTAATTAAACTAGCTTACTAACTCAATCAGTTAACATTATTTACCAAACACATTTTGGCCCTGTTTAATATAAAATTGGCCTATAGGTCAGTTTTGACTTATTTGACCACTATTAATTATTGATTTAGTTAAAATATCAATGATTAATTAGATTTTTGCAACTTCAAAAGGCTAAAATTTAAAAAGTTACCCCAAACAACTTTTTCAATTAGCGTTTTAAGAAAAGAAATTATACCAAACACTAAACACTTTTCTACAATCAGCCAATATTATTAACTATTTATATCATTTAATTAACACAATCAGCTAACAACTATCAACTAACAGTCATTTTTTACCAAACAGGGCCTTTATTTGAAGTTACTTTTTCTCTATTAGTTATAACTCACTTTTGGCATGGTATAACAGGTGGTGAGGAGGCAAGGATTAGTCCACTTGTGCAGTCATTTGAAAAGATGGAAGTTAGAGGGGACGAGGCAAAACCACAGCAAAATATAAGGCCACAAGCAGGAACACATCACAAACTTTACACAGGAAGCCATGACCAATTTGCTCCAGAGCCAATGGCTACTAATGTCTATACATCTTCAAAAGACACTGAATCCATTCCCAAGAGCTTTGATCCCACCAACCCCGAAAACCTTCCCCGAGATCCAATTGATGGGAAGCCACAGCAAGAAGGCAGCTACGCAGGGAAAATGCAAGGAGAGCATGAGGCAGCCTCCCCGGTAGACTATGCCAAAACCGCGGCCATGGCAGTGGCTGAGAAATTGGCTCCGGTCTATGACAGGGTTGCGGGTGCAGGGAGTGCTGTGATGGAGAAACTCCCCATAGGCGCGAGTGGAGAGCGAGGGAAGGGCGAAGTTGAGGGAGAAGGGAAGAGTGTTACAAGCACAGTGAAAGAGAAGTTGGCACCATTCTATGACAAAGTGGCAGGTGCAGGAAGCACGTTGATGTCGAAAGTGAAGGGCCCCGGAACAGGGCAGGCTGTGGTGGTAGAAGGATACGAGGAAGGGAACGATGTTAGGACTGATAAAGGAGTGTCCATTAAGGAGTTCTTGGCTGAGAAACTTAAGCCTGGGGAGGAGGATAAGGCACTGTCAGACATGATTTCAGGCACTTTACTGTCAAGGCAGAAGGAGGAAACAGTAGTGGAGGGCAAGCCAGTTGGTAAAGTGACAGAATCTGAGGAAGTTGCAAGGCGGTTGGGGCGGATTGGCGATAGCCCAAGGGAAGGCAGTGAAGAGAAGGGCATGGTGGATATGCTTAAAGGTGCAGTTAATTCATGGCTTGGCAGAGATAGCCAGCCACAAACTACAGACACCACAAATGGTAATTTCTGTGAAGTTCTTTTCTTTTCTGTTTCTAGTTGATAATCACTTAATGCTGATTTTACCTTTAAATCTTGTTTGAGACTCCAGTAAGAAATGAAGAAGTTGGGCATCAGAGTGCAGTGGGAGAGAGAAGACTTGAGCATCAGGATGCAATGGCAGAGGGAAGATCCAGACTTCAAGAATCTGGGCATTGAAGAACTATATAATAGAGAGTCTGAAAAGGGTTTTGATTTTCTTGTTCAGTGGTTGTGTTATAACTTATAATTATATACCCCTAGTAGATGTCATATTTGTGTTTGGTGGATTATGCATATAGCATATAGTATACTCTGTAATAAAAAAGTGACATGGTGTGAGAATGTACTTCATCTTTTTTTTAAGGTAAAAACATAGTACTGTGCTAGCAGAAGATAGTATGACATCAAGAAATTAAAAAACAAAAACAAAAAATGCAGTATTAACTTTCTTAGTTTAAATCGATTAATTACAATTTAAACTGATTTATTTTTTTATAATCTTTAATTTATTTAGAGCTATAAAAAATATATATATATAAAAAATAATTCAGTATCTGCTTTACTTGTAAGAAGGATAAAAAAAACTTCCTTCTGTTTACATTGCTTCTATATAATAATTTGGCCACATAAATAAAGAGATACTTAAAAGAGACAATAAATATTGCAGGATAATGTTTAGCTAAATACTAGACAGCCAACAAGGAATTAATGTTTGCTATTTTGATGCAACAAGCTATCTATTCATAGGATACATAATATAATGTACTATGATGTCCCTTCCCACAGGGCAGTTTGGGAATACAGTCTGATTTTCTTCTTAGGTACTATGATGTCCCTTCCCACAGGGCAGTTTGGGAATACAGTCTCTGATTTTCTTCTTAGGTACTATGATGTCCCTTCCCACAGGGCAGTTTGGGAATACAGTCTCTGATCTTCTTAGGCACCAAACTTGGGGAGCTTGGCAATGGAGATTTGTGCAAGGAAATGCTCTGCCACAATTCTCCGCTGGATTTTGCCTGTAGCAGTTTTAGGGAGAGAATCTGTTATGAACACCTTCTTTGGAACCTTGAAGGCTGCAAGGTTTTTCTTGCAGAATCTCAACACCTCCTCTTCGTTAATGCTTGATCCTTCACTTGGAATGATTGCACAGTTTATCTGTAGGGAATTGCTTATATCAGTCATGAATAAAAGTTGGTGATAATAATAAATACATTTACTATCAGATTGTGCACTCACCTCTTCACCATACTTGTCATCAGGAACTCCAAAAGCAACAGCTTGAGCAACCTCTGGATGAGAAATGAGCACAGCATCCACTTCAATGGGTGATATTTTCTCACCTGAATGAAATTGTAAGTTGGAGAAGTTGTTATGAAACTCCACTTTACTATAAAGTAGCTTCATAACAGCAATGGAAGAATGCAACTTGCAACCAAAAAAAGGTCACAAATCACAAAAAGTGTTCACAGGCAACAAATACCACCAGAAGTTTACAGCAATGGAAGAATGCAACTTGCAACAAAAAAGGTCAAGAATCACAAAAAGTTAACACATAGGCAACAAATAGTCAAATACCGCCAGAAGTTAACAATGCCTCAACAAATATCACCAGTCACATTTAGTAATTAGTATCCCAACTGTGGAACTGCCTAAGAAATAACAGAGCTTTCAAAACCAAATGTTCAAATCCAATGCATATATACAACATCACGAAACTTAGCATAAAGTGATACTATGCAGTACTTTATGGTCCATACATGAAGCAACACAATGTAATGAAATTTTCTTTCATTTCCAAAGTAATATGGGTAATGACAAATAATAAGTACGGAGTATAATAATAATGATAAAGAAAGAAGAAAGGTTCTGGGACAAACAAGTTAGTCAAGTTATTAACTAAGCAACTCCAAAGTTATAAATTTGACCTTCTTGATTTAGGCAGGTCAACTGACAACCTAAACTAGTTTATCTCCTTCCTTTTGGTCCTTACTCCTTATGGCCAATTATGGCAAAGCTAAGTCACAAGAATATCACCAACCGATAGTAATTGACAAGCTAAACCAACCAAGTTGAATGGCGTAAAAGTAATGCGGTGAACACATGCATAATAAAGGGGTAAATTTAGACTAATGTGCTGAGTATAACATACCTCCACGGTTGATTAACTGCTTGATCCTACCAACTAGATGCAAATATCCATGGGCATCTAAGTATCCAAGGTCTCCAGTATGAAACCACCCAAATTGAAAAGCGGATTTGTTGGCTTCAGGATTGTTTTTGTACCCTTTAGTCACATTTGGTCCCCTGATGCAAACCTCCCCATGAGCCCCAGATTCCTGTGCTACACCATTCTCATCCAGAATTGCCATCTCCTGACCCACGGGTCTCCCGACGGACCCGGGCACATGAGGACCGTCTTCAGGCAACGGGTTTGAAGCCATCAAATGAGTCGCCTCTGTCATTGCATATGCCTCCAAAACAGGGGCCTCAAACGCTTCTTCCAGCCGGGCCAAAATCGACGGCGCCAGAGCAGCGCTGCAGCTACGGATGAAGCGGAGCTTCGGGTAGAAGGGCTCCGGTTTGCTGAGGTGGCGGTCCAATATGATTTGGTGTATGGTTGGCACCGCCGTGTACCACGTAGCTTTGGACGTTTTCATGTCTGACCAAAAAGTCGAAGCTGAGAATCTCCCCGCCGCCGGGAGCGTCACGGACCCTCCGGCCCCGATTGAGCTCAACATCCCCGCGATCAACCCGTGAACATGAAACAGAGGCAACACAATAACCGTCGAGTCCGACTCGGTGAGTTTGTAAACCGACTTAATATTGTTCACTGAAGAAGCCAAGTTGAACTGAGTCAGGGGAACGCCCTTGGGGCGGCTCGTGGTGCCGGAGGTATGCAGGAACAGCGAAACATCAGACGGATCATTAACGAGTTCCGACACCGCGTCCGAGTCCGACTCGGGATGAGCCGGGAAGAGAGCAATATCCGACTCAGCGCCGGACAGAGTAGCGGTTACAGCCGGAATACTGAGCTTCGCAGCCGCGGCTTGAGCCGCCTCATTTCCTTCCTTCGGAATTAACAGCATCTTCGACTCTGAATCGGACAAGTAAAACTCAAACTCCTCCGCCGTATACGCCGCATTCAGTGGGGCCGCCGTGGCCCTCACCCGAATAACAGCCAGAAACATAATTACCAACTGCAATAAAATCAAAATCACCTAATTAATTCATAAATTCAACAGTAATTTATGTTTAATTAACGACTAAAATACTCTCATAATACTTTTTACTCTTGGCACGTAGTAAAATTTCGTCGAACATCTTACATACATTATTGATTATACTATAAACGTATTATTCAGAGAAGGTAAGCGAACCTCGACGGTGTTGGGGAAGGTGAGAGCGACAACATCGCCGGGCCTAACGCCGGCGGCGAAGAGGGAAGAAGCGGCACGTTCGACGAGGTGATGAAGGCGTGAGTGTGTAAGGTCGAACTTGCCGGAAACGGAGATGGCTCGCCGGGAGGGGAAGTTTCCGGCGACGTGCTTCAGCAATCCGGTGAGAGTGGACGTCTCCATGCTTAGAGAATCTGCTAAGATTTCGTGAAAGAAAATGAATGAAACGGTATGGTATGGTATGGTATGGTATGGTATGGTATGATATGGTATGGGATGAAAGTGTAACGAACGTTTCGGACACATAAATAGGTGAAGAGAGTCGGCCATATCGCGTCTGGCATTGGGGGAGGTAAGACCAGGGTAGGTAGGGACGTGGTGCTCCACGTGGCAGAAGTGGGCCCATTTTTTGGAGGCTCTGAATTTCTGAAATTTTATAGAAAAATTTGTGTTTATCATATTCTTCATTTTTAATATCTGTTTTTAGAATTTGTACTAAAAATATAAAGAGATCATACAGCTTTATAAGATATAATAAAGTATATCTACAAGACCGCAATATTGTAAAACTTTTTATTTTTTAACTTAAAAATAAATATGTAAAAAAATTTCTTTTAATAACATAAATTATACTCAAAGTTAGGCAAGTGAAGTTGTCGTGACGAGTTTTAAGTGATAAATGACAAATTTAAATGTCATCTACAAGACTACAACCCCACATAAGTTTATTACTCCATACTTTTGATTTTCTAAATTTTTCAAATACAAAAAATTACTCTTATTAGCTTCATCACCTAACACCTTTTCAAGTACTCGAGTAGGTGTGAATTGTTGTTTGAAATGAAAAAAGTTATATATTGTATTACGGAGTATTAAATAAGGCCCGCCGCTAGAGTTTAAACATTGGTCTTTTCTTCTAAATACTATTTACTGAACCCCATTGAACCATCTCTTGTTGTATATCTTGTCAGTCCAACAAATGGTAGTCACTCTCACAAAAAAATCATTTTATGATGTGGCAAAATATTTTTTTTAATGTTTAAGTTTATATTGTATAGTGATTTTTGCAAGTGATAAAAGTAGATGTGTGTAGCGAAACTGATAGATATGTTCAAAATAAAATAAAATAATAATAAATAAAAAGAAAAAGCAGAGATAAGGGGAGGGGGTGAGTTAGGCCAAAGTTGAATTTGGAGTGTTGTTGTGTAGTTTATATTTGAATTTGACACGATGAAAATTAGGAATGCAAATTGGGAAGGTAAAAGGGGAGTATGACCTGACCGCCACCAGAGACTTGAAGCCAATTGTCCTTTCGCAACTTAATTGGACTCAGAGGTGCGAGTTTTGTTGCACACTATTTGGCTTTTCATCTTTGGGTTACTTGGCCTAATCTAAACCAGTTATATTTTATACGTGCACTGTTCCTTTCTCCCTCCCCGACGGATGAAAGCAACTTTTCTCTTCCAAGTTTATATGTTTAATAAAAATTAATGGGATGTTCAAATTTGATTGGTGGGAAAACAAATTGATGTGATTTTCCATGACACAAATCCCATCTCGACCAATATAACCTAAACTGCAAGAATTAATTACCCATTTGGTCCCCCAACTATGAAAATTTCACCCATCTGGTCCTCAACTTTCAAAATTCTTCAATTTAATCTTCGACTATGTTTTTTTTACCCAAAACAGTCCTAACCATTAAACGTCCGTTAACTCGGGACCAAATTAATAATTTAACTATAATCAAAGGACCATTTTGATCATCAAAAGTTAATTACTAAAATAGTCCCTTAACTATAGCAAAATCACTTATTTGGTCCCGAGTTAACGAACGTCTAATGGTTAAGACCATTTTGGATTAAAAAAAAAACATAGTTAGGGATTAAATTGAGAAATTTTGAAAGTCAAGGACCAAATTGGTAAAATCCTCATAATCAAAGGACCAAATTAGTAATTTAACTCTAATAAATACTAAACTGGGTTTATGGCATAGTATGCCAAAAGGCTGCAATGAACACATACATGTGGATATGCAAATGATAAGTTTTAATTTGTGGATGAAAATTTTAAGGGAAAATTCTTTGGGTATATCAGTCTCAGAAAGTGAACAAAAATACATATGAAAGGTAAATCTGCTCATGTTTTAACTAATTGAACCTTCAACATAAAACAAAACAGCTATCTTCCTTGCCATAGATATATAGTGCAAGAAGGTTTATTTCTTCTTGTCACCACCTCCAGTAGCCCTGCACAAATTCCAGACAGATGAAACAGTAGCAGATTAGCACAAGTATGAAAAATAAAATTTATCAATAGAATTTAGTAGGTTTAAAAAGAATTGAAGATATATATATATATATATATATATATATATATATATATAGACAATATAAGCATGGTCATAGAGGGTTTTGGTGTTTCATAACTCTAACAATCTAAGGAATCAGTGGGTTTTCATTGTTTCTTCTCTAAAAATCCAAGGGATTACTGAATTACCTCATCTTTCGGAGAACACCAGACATCTCCTCTCTCTTCCTTTTAGCCCTCTTGTGAGTACCCAACTTTCGCTTGGCTACCTTCAAAGCACGCTTGTCCTTTCCAACTTTAAGAAGCTCAGTGATCCTCTTCTCGTACGGAGCAAATCCAGCAACTTCCCTGATCAGGCTCTTCACGAAATTGATTCTTTTGCTTGTTTTCTGAAGAAGAACAAATTTGGACAACAAAAATAAATCTTCAAACCTAAATTGCAAGGCGTGCAATGGGAATTTTGAAAGGGCAGGCAAAATTGGTAGCCCTTTGAGACAGTCAAAGTACACATATTCACAAAAATTATTTACAGCAATGCTGATGCATAGAAAGAGCAGAGCTAGGAGCCTAAAACAGCAAACTGAGATATTTGAAAAGCATATCGAACATGCATTAAAACTTATAATTCATTTTTCAAAATCAATAATCATATTCATAAGAACAGCTAACCATCATAATCTTAACCAACAAAGCTACAACTAAGTAAATATAACATTTTGAAAATCAATATCTGTGATTTAACAGCTCAAATACAGTGAACTCATAAATTAACATCATAAATTTGATAAGCAACTTACGCCTTTCCGATCAGAGGGCCGTGGTGCTAGTTCCTTCTTGGTCACAACATGTCCTCTGTTCAGTCCAACAAACAGCCCAGAATTAGCCTGTTTCGGCGCCATCCCTGCATCACCAAACACCACAAAGAATAAATACGCAATAATATAATTCATCAAATGCACTTCCACTCTTAGATTCAGCAGCTCAAGCTCTTTCAAATACAATCAAACACTCATTAATCAATGAATACGCATATGCATACAAACTGAATTACATTTATACGCACACAACAAACGAAAGTTCAGAACTAGAACGAGAGATTGGGGAAGACGAAAGTTGAGTTACGAGAAGAGAGGCAAACCTCGTTCGATTTGATTCTGCGATGGCCGGAGGCGGGCGATGATGGAAGAACACCTAGGGTTTTGGTAGACTCCACCCCCTATATACGCGGTGAACACTGACACTGAGAGGATATGATGGGATTAGTGAAAATATTTTGAGGGTACAAGTGTAATTTCATTTACAGTGCGGCGTTTTCCTGTAGACTGCTGGGGCGTTTGGGCTGCGGCCCGCAGGCCTAAAAATCGAAAGACCTCTCTTTTGGGCTTTTTTAAAATGGCAATTTATAATATCAAAATACCAATTCAAATTGTTAATTTTGATATTATTTCATTTAATAAAACATTTAGCACAAGAAATATCATCTCCCATTTTAGAGAGTGACATTGAACTACAAGCTATTTGATTTATTCGAGAAATGTTTAACTATACTAAATTTATGAAACTTGATTATTGACTAGAGTTTAAGATTGAAACTGTTACGTTTTAAAGACGAAGTTGGCAAAACAAAAATGTTTATAATGTTTTTTTCTTTTTTTTTTGGGGGTGATGAAAAAAATATTACAAGGGACTCTCATAGATGACGGGTAACTTTGGTTGTTGTTGTCTCTTTATCATATTTAGAATATAGAAAATTGTTTTGGATTAAGCTTCATTTACGAGTATTGTGATATAGAAAGCTCATATAGCCATCATTGGTGGCGTCAATGGAAGAACTATTGTCTCTATTTGACACGCTTAGTTAAAAGTTTAAAAGTTAATAGTTAATAAGCTAACTAATTAAAATTAAAGTGTATTAAAAAAATTAAAATTAAAATATTTGGTAAAATTAATTATTGAATTAACTTATAAGTGTAAAAAAACATAAAACTGATAAACTGATGTATTAAGATTTTGATTATTGAATGACAGATGGGTCAGATGGTGTCATTTTTATAAATGAATAAAGATAACAAAAGAAAAAAGTTTAAAAAGTCATGAGCAAACTATTATTTTAAGCTCTCATGTTTTACCAGACAAATATTATAATTTATTTGTAGTTTAAAATAAACTATAAACTCTATCAAATAGAGCCAATTTTTATTATCATTTCATTTTACTTCCATTGAGAGTAAAACTTAAAACCTTGATTATCAAGCAAATCATAACTACATTTAAACTAATAAAAATGCATAAATATTTGGCTGTCTTGAAGTATTGAAGCTTATATAGTACCAAACCACTTGGTACGCATATTGATATTTTTGGAACTCTGTCTAACAAAAGACTCAAAATTTTGATATAATAATTCAGTAATGTGGCACAGACCATGTCAACTTGCTACAGGCCTCTTGACTATTGAGTGACCTTCTCAAATGCTGTTGGACACAGTTTATTTTCACTGTAATTTCCTTCTCATTTACTATCACAATTCACAACTAAAATTTCGGAGCCAACTATTTTTTAAACCATGAAGAAATACAGGAAAAGAAAAGAGTCAAAGTGCTACTGAGCCACCGCAAACCAACTTCATTTTCTGAGGTCACATCCAGTCTGTTCGGTTATCTGCGGTCCCTGACAACTGCAAAAGAAGTCGGTTTGCAAAAACGAATAAGTAAATCTCATATAGCAAGTAATCAAATCCATGAAAATGATTTTGCTTGTGTGTGAAATGAAAGGTAATCTCTCTTTAAGCTGGAAAAAAAATATAAGCACATAAGCAGTATCATTTGGCAATCTCTCTGTAACTGTGTTTCTTCATTAGTCACAGTGCTGATACAATGATATGGACTTGTAATTCACATTCCAATTTGAGTAAAGTAGCATGATGAAGGGTGGATATGGATAGCCATCTCTCACAAACAAGCACATTTTAACTTCCACAACTCACATCAGATGCAGCAAACCGTAAGAAATATCTGGAAAATTTTAAAGAAATGCAATGAGGCTCACAGAACATGGCTACTACATGGTGCATATCTTTGTCCTCCGTACTTCATATTACCCACGAGGCCAACAAATCGATCACTAGTCTCTATATCATTTTCCCAGCTGCCCGGGACACTTCTAAGGTGAGATGTTATATTCCCTCGATTGCTAAAACTCTCACAAGTTTTTGCCCAACTATCCTTTGGATGAAAGTAGTCACGAAATTTCAAGCGCATCCAAGAGCCCGATCAAAACCTTGAAGAGTCACTCTCACACTGCCTTGCATGACGGCATGATCATGGATACGAGACAGTTTTCTTAATGGGAGGCTAAGCTTAACATCTAGTACTAAATTGAGTTCCCTATTCCTTTCTATTATACCCTCAAATTGAGTTTCCCTATTCCTTTCTATTATACCCTCAAATTGAGTTTCCCTATTCCTTTCTATTATACCCTCAAGTTTCCAAATACATCATCACTTAGCTTGAATGGAAAAGACATCCCTCACACTTGGGGCAACACAGCTAAGTTGGTTAGACTATTGATTAAGTAACCACAATATTACAAGTTCTGACTCCCAACTTAGAGCCACCTATCGACCTTCTTGTTTGAACATCCTAAGTTAGTCCTTGTGGAGGCTAGGGTCAAAAAGCAGAGTTTACCGTTTACCTATGCACAATTTCAAATAGTAATTACGGGTTTTCTCATTGCTCAAAGGCATTCCTCACACTTGCATGATTGAGGCAACCATCTTTGTTACTAAAAACCATGTTTATATTCAACACCATCCGCTATCACTCAATCTTCTGAAACTATGTACGGATCAGTATTAAGTTATTAAGGAAAAACATCATCAAAACGAACAACCCCTAACGAAAAACCCTCCCTGTAGTATAAACTTGGGGCAGTGCAATTAATCGAAAGCAGAGGATAGATGATTATGAACGATTTAGCTTCTAATATTGAGAATTTGCAGAGCTTACAAGAATCTGGATTTAGCGAGGGTTCTGGAGCTGAAGCGGGCTTCTTGAGAGAACACGAAGACCTGAAGGCTTCGACTTGAGACTGGCACTTCAAATAGTCCCCTTTGTTCTCTTCCAAACACTTCTTCAGAGCCTCCACATCGCATGGCGAAATTACCTTCTTCACGCTGTTATTCATCTCCACTTTCTCCGCCATTTTTTTCTGTGTAAAATCCGTGCCAAATTTAAATTCAACGCCCGATCAAAATCATCAAAACTCCTCGCAGCCGAACCCTAATTCCCTAAAAATGGTGCAAGTGTACAACCGACCTGGACCACTACATGCGTTATTTCAAGTCCTTAACTCTTTTGCTGCCAATTCAAATTTTTGGTTTATTTAAATATGAAAAATACTACATATACTCACATTTTATACTCTCAAATTATATTCTCATACACAACAATATTGATGCAGACACTTGTATTAGGATTCACATGAAAAAAAATAATAATAACTTATTAAAATTTGCCACATCAGCGAGTAAAATTTAGGGAATAAGATTAGGGAGTAGTAGTAGAATTCTTTAAATATTTATTAAAGGAAAAAGGGTCAAATCAGCCCCCTAAGTCGAGTGGATAGTGCAATGAGTCCCCTAAGTGAAAAAAACTCCATTCAGATCTCTTAAACCTGTAAAAATGTTCAAATTAAATCCAAGTGAACCTATTTAGCCGATTATTTCTTTACAAAGTTGACACGTGTCTTTTTAAATAATTTTTTAATTTTTTTTTCAAAATATATTTATTAGAAATTAAGAAAATAAAAAATAAAAACTTATAGAAGAGTACAGCACCGGCGGTCCCTACTCCCCTTTTTTTTTCTTAATTTCTAATAAATATATTTTGAATAGAAAATTTTAAAATTATTTAAAAAGATACGTGTCAACTTTTTTTTAAAAAAACCTGTTAAATAGGTCAACCTAAACTGAATTGAACATTTTTACAGATTTAAAAAATCTGAATAGAACATGTGCTTAGGTGAGAACACATCACGTGCATTTATCTAATATTTTTTAACGATCTAGATTAGATTAAGTGTGTGCGAACGCGCATTAAATGTGTGCAAACATACTAAATCGCATTTGCACACATTTAATACGCGTTCGAACACACTTAATCTAATATAGACCATTAGAAAATATTAGATCGATGGATGCACATGATGTGTTCTCACGTTCTCACTTAAGCACATGTTCTCATTGGAATCCTACTATATATATATATATATATATATATATATATATATATATATATATATATATATATATATATTGAAGGGATCAGGTGCATTTGAGGCTTCCTGTGCGGTTGTGCGGGTGGACGCACGTTAAGTATTAATCTGACGCACTTAAAGTACACAACACAGGCACATTAAGCACACAAACAAAACACCTTCAGAATACAACCTCACGCATGTTAAGCACAAGCCTCATGCACGCATGTTAAGTACAAGTCTCACGCATGTTAAGCACAAAAACACACGCACCTTAAGTTTTTAAAACAACTTACATTAAGTACAAACTCACGCACATTAAGTACAAATTCACGCACCTAAAGCAAAAGACTCACGCACATTAAGTACAAAACTCATGCACATTAAGCATAAAACTCATGCACTTTAAAGTTTCAACAACAACTCACATTAAGTACACACTCACGCACATTAAGCACAAAACTCACGCACATTACGCACAAGACTCATGCACATTAAATAGAAAACTCACGCACATTAAGCACAAATCCCACGCACATTAAGCACAAATCTCACGCACATTAAGCACAAGACTCACTCACATTAAGTACAAAACTCGCGCACATTAATCACCCGCACAACCGCACGAGGACAATCACAACTGTTTGTGAAAGGGCAGCCATCGGCTGTCCTCGCCGGACAGCCGGTAGCTGAAATTCTTTTTTTATTATTATTATAATTTAATTTTAATTTTATTTATTTTTTTAATAATAATTAAATAGGTAATCTGTTAGTAACATGTAAAAAGGTCAATTGAAAAAATTTAGCTGGTAAGTGTGATTAATTAGATTTTAATTTAGTTCGTGATGAGAATTGAACACTTTGCAGTAATAGATGGACATATTTGACATGTGTGCCTATACAATTTATACATGGTCATAAAATATGGAAATTAATTTGAAGAATTTTCTTATTGGGCTAAGAAGAGGCCCGTAATGCAGGCCCATCTTCACCTGCTCTACAGGCAAGCCCTAACTTTACTGACTATTCACATTGGGGGGAAAAAGGGGAAGAAGAAGAAGAAAAAAGCTTGAAAATCTCGCCGGTTTATGGAAGAAAGTCAGAGGAAGTGAGGATAACGTCGCCGTTGGTGATCGTATACCGGCTATCGGAGCTAAGCCTTTGGGCAAAAAGGTAAAAATTTGCTCTTTCTCTGGGTTTATATTTCTAAAAGTTCTAACCATGATTGATTGTGAGCTGCAGTTATGGGGAATAGTGTTGAAGGAATTTTATTGGTATGCTTTTTATGCTCTGTGAATCTTTTGTTTCAAACTATGAATTGTGCTTTTACCAGTGGGTTCTGCTTAGGAATTATTGCTTCTAAGATATCTTGTTGTATATCTCATTAATCATTTCATAATCTCTTTGCTTTGGATTGAAATTTATGTAGTTACTTTTGGTGGGTATAGCTTGGATTTTTTGAAAATATTTTGCAGAGTTTATATTCCATTAGGAATCTTAATGTAGGCAGAAATTGATATCATGAAATTTGATTCCCAATTGTTCTAAACTTTCCTAATAATTTTGTTAAGAAAGTTTGAAGTTTCCCCTCTCTACCATATAACAATTGCAACTCAACAACTGGTTGAGCCAGTGAAGCCATTTTGATCGCTAGGTGAAGTGAATGAAAATTTGAGAAAGTGTTTTATTGTCTATTTCCTATCACAGATCGAACGCAGGCGCTCGCCGTGAGGAAGCTCAAGTTGATGGAATTCTCAGATCCTCCCTCCGATTTGTTAGTTGAAATCCTGGCGAGGCTCCCCAGCAGCAGAGCAGCTATCCAATTGAAATTGGTATGCAAGAGCTGGTGTTCTGTTATCTCTTCTCACTATTTTATTACTGTTTTCAATCACCACCGCCATGACCCAATTCACCCCTCATCATCTGGCTGCTTTATATTCGAATCTGCATTTGACTGCTGTTTGTCGATGGTTCGCTGGGGATACCATGATTTGTGCGGCGACTTCCGCAGGCTCGATTTCAGTTTCCTTCCCTGTCCCCAAAGCAGCATTAGATTCAAGGCTTCTTGTGCTGATTTAATTCTATGCTCCACCTCGGCCTCGACCTCCCACATGTCCCAACCCATATTCTATTATGTCTGTAATCTGCTAACCAAGCAGTGGGCTGCTCTTCCTCCTGCCCCCGAATTCCAATTAGAACCCAGAAGATATGTCGCATTTTCCACTGGCTTCCTTTGCAGCAGCAGCACCCAATGTGTTGTAGGTCACAATAATAATAATTTTATGGTGGTTCGAATTTGTGTTGTTCCATTTATAAATCCACAGTTCAAATTCAGAGCTCAAATCTTCTCGTCTGAGGAAGGTGAATGGAAAACTGTTGTGGTTTCATCACCGCGGGCTGTAAGCTTTCGGGTCCGTTCTACTCCAACTCTTGTCTCCTATAAAGGCATGCTACATTGGCTGATTTCTGGGTTTGTTCTTGTGTATGATCCCTATAATTGTCTTGAAAGATTTTGCCGTGTAATTGATACCCCAACAAATATGATAGCTGGGGACCAGCAGCGAGGCTTCCAAACCATTGGACTATTTCAGGATTGTCTTCGTGTAACACATGTTTGGCGTTCCGTATATTATATATGGGAGTTGGAGGACTACAACATGGGGAAGTGGAGTTTGGTGCACAAGATTTCCCGTACAGCAAGTCCCCATCTCCGAGCCCTCCCTTGGGCCCTCTCAGATGATCCTGATCATCTTCCTCATCTTGATCCTATAGTTAATCTTGATCCTAAAATTAGAGAGACAGGATTTTTGTACATAGATGGGAGTGTTTTTTACTGGACCAGTTCTTCTGGGTGGTGTGTTGCTAATGGGATTGTCTATTGGATTACTGATCAGTGGTGGCCAACACCAGTACCATCACTAACTGCCTGCACAATTCAAAGTAATACATAGTATCTGTTCAACATGATTATGCCAACATCCATATCTGTGACCTTTCAATGGTAAGATAACAATGATGTTATCAAACCAAAGTTAAAAATTTCAATTTCATACGATTGGCTATTTAACCAAGTCAAACTACTAATAGTGGTAAAAAAAAGCCAAAGTTAACTGATAGGCTAACTATGTTACCAAACAAGACCAATATTTTTTTATTTAGTTCCCTTGTGATTGCTCCCCTTGATTACCTTATATATATGGCATATAATTTGTTTCTTGTTTCATTAATTTTATATGGTTGGGGCACTAACTTAACTTGATAACCACAAGGTTACAAGTTTAACTTTCAACGGGTGCGCCCTATTGACCTTATTGGTTTGACTCGGTCAGCTATGAGTAATCTAGACTGGTTTATCTGTTATGGTTCTTTGTAGGCTAAGGTCACCAGACAGAATTTATCCTGTGCACACCCTTAAATAGTAATTGTGAGTTTGCCTTGTGATTCAAAATAAATTCAAAAACATCTATGTATTTGTGTCCTAGCTTGCTTATTGGCTCTCGTTCCTCTCCAATAGTTAGAGGCATAGTTGTATTGATAATGTTGAATTTGGATATTTTTTCTTCTAATCCTAATATATTTACATATTATAATTGCAGATAATGAAAATGCTATTGGGATTCATAGCAAAACGGTGAAAGGCAGAGATATATACTCCCTCGGTCCCATTTTATCTGTCTTACTTAGCATTCATTGGTCAAAACTCAAAACAACTCTTTCTTATTTGTTTATTTTCTTTAGTATTTTTTTACTTATTTATAAATTTGATTTTTTTTTTTTGTTTAATAATACTTTTAGTGTTGTTTCTAAATATATAAATTTTGTATACTAATACTAAACTTGGATTTTGAAAATATTTTGCAGAGTTTATATTCCATTAGGAATCTTAATGTAGGCAGAAATTGAAGTGAAACTGAACTAGGAACATATGATATGCTTCATTTATTACTCTGAAGGAAATGGTTTTGCCACATTGCTCATTTTCTTGCTCCTCAAAAGGGGAAATCCCTTCCATGACCCCCCCCCCCCCCCCCCAACACTCCCCGGTCGTACAGAATTGCAAAGGGGTAAATCACGGTGACTCAGCGTCCTCTAGATGGGAAGATGGAATCCACCATATTGGGTGTAACTCCCACACTGTGATTGCCAGGCTCAATCCCGAGTCCTTGCCCCTTAACTACTATTGCGGGCTAGTGCTCATTTTCTTCACTAGCATGTTGCAATAAAGATAAAAATGTCTGGACTGCACTTCTGCATTCACACTGTCCATATTTGATCCTTTTCATCCCCCAAGGGTTGACCTTTTATTTCTTGGGCAGCTTAATTGACAAAGAGGGAAATTTTTTTATTCCTTTCTAACGCACTAGTGCCTTTAGTGTGCAGTGCGAACTTCCTGTAGTGCGCTGTTTCAGTGAAACCTGATCTTGAAATTTTTACACACAAGACTTTATAGCCACAATAAGGTGCATTGTAGGTGGCAAGAGGGATGAGGATAAAAAACCTACCTTTTGATTTGAAGCTTGTGTACTGTTTACTGTCTTTTATTTACAGATGCTAGTGATTGGAAGTGCTGTAAGCATTGGCACTCTATGGGCTGTCTAACAAAAGTATCCTCCCATTATTTGTCTGCTTTTAATGGCTGTTTTCAAAAGAACTTGTCAGACCATATTTACCAAGTTAAACTATCCTATTTGAAGTCCAAAATCTTTCTTTGATTTATACTGATTGGGAAAATATGAGCAATTCTCTTAAAGCATATTAAAGTATTTATCACCCTTTCCAAAAAAAAAAAAAGTATTTATCACCTTTAGAAAGTTGTTTGGAAAAATCTGATTTTGTGGATTCATGCAAATGTAATGCACACACTTACATACTTAGCGCCACACAATGCCTTTCCCAATTTTTTAAGGATGTTAAAACTTATTATCCTTCATGGCATTAGACACTTTTTTATCTTCCCAGCAGACTTGAACTCCTCCAGTTTTCGGGGAAAGGTTTTATCAGTGTGGCATGGCTTCCTTTTTAGAAGTTCCTCTTTTTTGCTCTTCTGATGGCAGTGATGGGGGCATAAGGGCAACAATTCAGCCCATTAAATGCAACTGGCCAACATACCCAATATTTAATGGAGTTGGGGCATTTCAGACTTAAAACATGGGTGAGATTGGGCAGTTTATTTTTTAACCCACAATAAGGTGGGTTGGAACAGTTTGAAGCATGAGTTCTTATGGTTTAAAAGTGTTGGTTGGAACTTGGAACCAGACACTGCCCTCTATAACTCTATTCACATTCCTTGCTGCTAACACTCAGGCATCCTTTCTTTCTCCAATTTACAATTCTATGCCTCTTCTCTTCAAGGCACCTGTCAATTTTGGTAAATGGGGAAAAATTATCCTTGTCTAAGCACAAGCATAAAGAGAAATTCAAGTTGTTCTTGATATCCTAAACAAGATCGTCTATTTATCTTAAGAAGTTGCCAAAAAATGCTTATTTTCCGATTTTGTTTTACAATTTTAAAGAAATTGAGGGATTGAAAAGGAGGCTTTTCAACACACTTGCAGGTTGTTTACCTGGTCTTTAGCTGGATTGGCAGGACTATATATATGTATACTCTATTATTTATGGGGCACTTATGAGGTTGAGATTGCATTTTTGTTTGTGCCTTAACTTTGAGGTTGAGTTTTTTTTGGTGAAATGCTTAGAGGAAGGAGAATATGTTACATTAGTAGCAAGTGAAGTTTAAGCCAATCATTGTGTCATTACAACTCATAGCTAGCAAATGGTCCTTTGGTTGTATACATGTGAAAACTTACCTGCATTTCCTTTTTTGCCAGTCTTTTAGCCATGAAGCAAGGAGCACATCATGTACTGCATTTAAACCAAATTTACTTATGGACCTGGATTCTACTGTACTTACTGCACTTATCAAGCATGCTTAATTACTTAATGACAGTATTAATGAGGATTTCTCATGATTGTAGTGTCTTAAGTGAAGTCTTGAACAGCTTTGATTATTGTTGTCCTTATTTGAGTGGATTAATAGTTTATGTTTCCCTTGTGGCCTTTGCTTTATTTGTGAATCTACTATCCTTCTGAATGTGTTGCTATCTGGTGGAGGCCTAATAGTTTATCTTAGGAATATTTTGTTGTTGATGATCATGGCAAACTATGATTATCTTAGTAAGGTGTACATTTGGCAGGCTTTTTTTTGGGCTCAAACTATGGTAATTATGTATTAGTGATATCAATATCTTTTGGTCAATACAAAATATGGCCTTTATGTGCAATTTTTTTTTTTTTTTTTTTTTTGTATTTTTGAAGGAAGGGTTTTTGCCAAGCCAAGAAGGAATCCATTTCATTGAATGCAAATTATATTCTAAGTACACATATACTGCAAAAGATTTTTGCTTCCATTTTTGCAAGAGTTCTGTTTTTGGTCAATTGCCAAGAAGGAAGCCATTTCATTGAATGCAAAATATATTCCAGTACATAGATTGAAATACACATCTATTGCAAAAGATTTTTGCTTCCATTTCCTCACATCAATTGATTCAAAGGTTTACAATTAGATGATGCATTCATACCACTACTCAATAACCTAACACTAAGAAGTAAGAACAACTATAATTACCAACACTACAACTTTGAATTGCCAACTCTTAAACCAATACTTATCCTCTGTTCTTGCACCATTCACAACCAATCTGAGCCTCATTTGCAATGACTTCAACTCTTCATCTTCTTTATTCAACCTCTTAAACAACCCTGGAATGATCTTCTTTGACCTTTTACACATAGGAGGGCCGAACCATTGTATGAACCTACATCTTGCATTCTACAATTGGAATACGAATTTAAAAAAATTAATAAAAATTTAAAGTGAAATCAGGTAAATTAACCTACTCCATTGTCTCGACATACCCAAAATCTTTGTCCAGGGTTTTCATTTGTCCATGAAGTGATCACTTTCAATTGATTTTCGCATTTGCATTCTGCCATTAGAGTTGCCTCACCATAATTGCTACTCTCTCTTTGGGAATTTGAGGAGGCATATGACCTAGCCATTATATTTACCTTCAAAATAAACCTTGAGTTTTTGAAGAAGATGAAGAAAGATGGCAATAGGACCGCGAGGAAGAAGATGGAAATCGATGGACAAGAACATCTATTTAGAAAGATAGGGAAATAGGTCATTAGTAGTGATAGAGGGAAAAGACGATTTTCCATGCTATAAAAGGAAAAAAATTCTTGTTAAAGTTGGACTAAGAAACTTAGAAGGACCAAATTCGTTAAGAAAATGATATTCGTGAACTAAAAATCGTGGATCAAAGTTGTTAGTGACAAAATACTCGTGGAACCAAAGTGCAAAAAAATTCATCATGGTAATGTCTATTGTCTTTTTTGTTCATTGCATTTGAAGTAAATGTTTATCTAGTGTTCATTATTATCTCTAAAATACTTGCTTGTCACATTTTTAAATGATGTTTTGTTGGAGAACATATAGGGAAGCTAACAATTGTATAAATTGGATGGCTTTTTGACTCTAAGTCTAATACTTATATTTTGAGTACCCGCCAATCTTACTTATATTTTGAGTATCCGCTAATCTTACTTTGTTAAGACATCATGGAGTTAGCGTTTTTGTAATTCATGTGGTTCAACTTGAGTTTTTTTTTTTTTTTTTTTTTTTTTTTTGGGTGTATTAATAAAAGCACACAATCAAAATATCATATAAATCCAATAAAATGTATCAATAAATTCATGAAATATGTAGTCATTTTGTACTTAGGTTTTATTATTGTTTGAACAACACCATCTATATAAACCAAAATGGGTTTTTCTCATAAAATAGAAAACAAAAACAAAAAAAAAATTGTTAGTAAAAGTAGACACGTGCTCGCTAAGAGAGTGCACGAATCCACTGCACCGCATTTTTTTTTGTTACCTCAAAAATTGTGATGAATCATAACAAATTAAGCGATTTTTTCTTCTTCATAGAAAAACATAACTATGATCATTTATTTTTAATAGTTATAAACAATTGTCAACTGAATGAAGAATTATTGTTTATCTTTATTAATTGAAAATCTAGGTAACAATGGTGTTTGAGTATTTTTTTTTTATTATTTAAATTATGCTTTTCACTGGTTAAATTATTTGGTACAAATAGCATTTGCATTTGCAAAATTAAAATTTTATTTTATTCTCTCTATTTTCCTTGAATATCACAGCTCACAAACACAGTTCACAAAATCCCGCCAAATCCAACCGTCAGGAGCGAGGCTCCAAAACCGGAGAATCTTCCTACCGCCATTGCTACTCACCTCTAAACTCAGTTCTCTGCCTCGTGTCTCCAGAAAACGTAACAAACAATGGCGGTGGCGGAGGAGACCGCAAAAGACGATACCAAAATACACATCAATCAACTGCCATTGCCGCCGGCGCTGGCCGGATCGCGGTTGTCCGTTGACGGAGAGGATCTAATGGGAGAGCAGAGAGTGGAGTTTCCGTTGTTCAGGCTGACGTCACGGAGGAGCGAGAACTCGTGGATCATCTCTCTGTTCGTGATCATCCACCTGGTCGTCTTCGCCGCCACCATGATCGTCAACGACTGCTGGCACAACTCTCACGGAGACTGCGCCATCAAACCGCTCGGAAGGTTATCCTTTCAGCCACTCTCTGAGAATCCCTTGCTTGGGCCCTCTGCGTCTGCGTAAGTGCTTCTCTGTTACAATCACTGAGTTTGAATCGTTTTGATTACAAGGTGTTTGATTGAATTTACTGCAATATTTTATCTACATTATTCACTTAGATTTTCATTTGCAATCGTATTTTTTAATGTAAAATTCTTATTACTTGATGCCTAAAGTTTGTGTTAGATTCTTCTAGTTCTAAGGTCTTAGGTCTGTAATTTCCTTCAGGTTATTCATGTTAGCTTCATATAGGTTAGAAATTCATAGTTTCTATTTTCTTGATAATGTGTTGTCATGGAATTTTGTTTTGGAAACTTTGTGATTCTCAATGAAACTATGAATTTCTAACCTGTTTGTTGGATTAGCTAATTTATTTTGTTGGGGCACCATTCCAGTCTAAGCCATTGCTTGGGAATCAAAATGAAGTGAAGCATGCTAAGTCTTAGATTCCTGTATGAGTGAAACATTTAAATTGACCAATCATTTGGGCACATTCTATATGATTTTTATTTAAAGAAATGATTAGTGCCTTGTCTCTTTCTTAATTTCTGTTAGCCAGATTAGCATTGATTGAGGTAATGACTGCTGGTCTGCATTCTAATACACATTGCCCTAAGTAGCAAGCTGATCATCACAAGTTCTAATATACAATGCCCTAAGTAGCAAGCTGATCATCACCAGTTCTAATATACAATGCCCTAATTTTAATTTTCCTTAGTTCTCTTCTGAAAATTAGCAAACTGTATTTAAACTGTTGCATTTCATAGATGTAAAATTAATTCTTTTTATAGGCTGGGTAAAGTTGGTGCGATTCGGCAGACATTATTCACTGATCATCACCAGTTTTGGCGTGTTTTAACAAGTCCATGGTTGCATGCTGGGCTTGTCCACATTATCATCAACTTGTGCAGTGTAGTCTTTATTGGAATTCACTTGGAGCAAGAGTTCGGATCACGTAATCATTTCAATCTTATTATTTTCCATGTATTAGAAAAGTGAGGGGCAACATACTGTTTTCAATGTGTTATATTAATGTTTATCCCATCTTGTTCTGCAGTAAGGATTGGAGTTACCTACATACTCTCAGCTGTGACTGCTACCTTGCTGGCTGCACTTTTTGTTTCAGATAACTCATCAGTTACTTCATCCAGTGCATTATTTGGATTGCTTGGTATGATGCTGTCTGGGCTCATTAGAAATTGGAAACTTTATACTAAAAAGGTATTTGGTTCTTCTCCTAAAGATTTTCCTTTTCATTTTTGCTGTGTGGAAAGGAATTTGATCTCTCATTCTCTCCTTTGTGATTGCAGCTTGCAGCGATTCTGCTATTTTTAATCATCTTGATGATTAATCTCATCCTCGGCTTGGCACCATACATCAACAACATTTCTAATGTTGGAGGATTTATATCAGGATTCCTTATTGGGTTTGTGCTGCTATTCGAACCTCAACTTGACCGTATCGCTCAAAAGAAAGGAGGTTTATTTGAGTTTGATCTCAAGCACAAAGTTCAACCGAAGCAGAAGTGGGACAGGCCAGTTCTGAGGGGTGTTTCTCTTGCCATCCTCGTGTTTGTGTGAGTTCCTATTACTCTATTTCAGGTTCAATTCACTTGTGTAGCCAGCCTTCAATTAGAACTTAAAAGCATTGTCCTGAAATGCAGATTTGCAGGAGTTTCTATAGCAGTTTTGCGTGGCACAAATGTGAGCAAGTATTGTAGCTGGTGTCAGTGCATAGATTGCATTCCATCCAAATGGTGGATCTGTGCAGACAAAGCGAAGCACTGCGAGGTATTGTATTTCGTTTGGAACTTAGTCTAACTACTGACCTTGTACATTAGTATACATAATGAAAAAGAAATCATGATAATGGTGAAAAACTTTGCTGCTGCTGCTGCAGAAATTTGCAGTATTATGTTTCATAGAAGGTTAGAGCTAGTGTGCAAGATTCTTGCATTGTGCATGGTCAAGGAAGGGAGATAGAATTTATGAGGAGATTTTCATGACTTTTAGTTAACTAATTAGCATGAATCAAAATTCTTGCCTTAATCCTGCAACTGCACTTATCTGTTGTTGAATTTGAGATCATTTAGACTGGCAGTATGATCCCAGCCAAATTTAATGTGATTTTCTTGCCATGCATTTTGCACTGCTTGCTTACTTACCTGCTACTAATTCAAAACCATGCGTTTTTGCAGACCATGATCTACTCAGACCAGTTGACCTTGACTTGCTCAGACAATGGAAATTTCAGAGTTCTTCCCTACACTGACATCTCTCCAGGAAGGATCGAGGACTTGTGCAGTATGATATGCTCTTAGATGGTAATATGCATTACACAAAACTCACCAATTCAAAAACATTACATCAATGTTTTTCCTACCTATACTTCACAAATATGATAATATGCAGTACAAGGATTGAACAATTCAAAAATATTATACCATCTTTTTTTGTGATGAGGAAAACCCACACGGGCCACGGCTTAAACGTCTTGTGATCTTAGCCGGTACAGGTCAGCCTAGGTTCGACCATAGTTGATTAGCTCAAATCAAGAAAGGCAATAGGCCACTCCCACCAAAAGTCAAACTCGGAACCTTGACCATCTTTAAAAATTGAACTTGTGACCTTCTAAGTACGAAAATTATCTCTTCCAATGCCCTTAGTAGGGGTTTAGGGAGCTTAACATTAATCTAACGTAAACTAAGAAACTTAATGTATCAAAAAAAAAAAAATGTATAAAAACTATGCTCTACTCATTCAAGTCAACCTTTCTTGGTAATTAAAAAGACACTCTTTTTTAATATTGCAAACATCATCACAAATTTCAGAAAAATAAACATCATCACAAATTTCTCAATTTTCAGAAAAATAGTAATCTTAACAAGTAGCATACAAAACGATATAAAGTAGCTTAATATAATTTATGCTTTATCATTCGTTAGCTACATTATTTGTAATCATCAAAATAAATGAGAGGTATCTTATATGAAATTGTTTAATTCAATCTCTTTTAGTCCTTATACATACATTGATAAAATTGAAAAACAAAAATTATCTAATCCGGTTAACCAGAACTAGTAAGATTACTCATGTGTTTACTAATTTGGCATTAATAGGTTAAATTTAAAATGTTATACGCAGTATATAATTGTAATTTTTTAAAGATTTAGCTATTTAACATTTAATTTTTTCAAAAATTCGCAATCACTATTCAAACTTTTATTGGGTAGGTGAAGTCTACTTAAATTTGAATTTACTAATCGTCCGATTAGCTCAATATTTAGCACTACTTTGCTTGAAACAAGTAATAAAAATCAATAAAAGATATTTATCATTGAACCAAGGAAAAAAAATGAAGAAGCTATGTTTCACTAACCAAAAAGAAGTCAAGAAATAAAATCATGAAAATTCATTCATTTTTAGTATCAACTCTTCAATTTTTAACCATCTCTGCTAATAATTTATTTATTTAGACCAAATTTAGGGTCCTATGTGGCTATTTTCCTAATATTTTTTATTTTATTTAATTAAACATTTGGAAACCATTTTTTGAATTTAATTTTATTATAGAAACCTTTCAACATAATTTTACAATGATAAGGGTTAAATTAGTCATTAATTTACACGCGAAAATACAATTGAATTATTAAAATACAGTTAAGAAAGTCATGTATAATTTTATATAGAAGGGTAGCCCTTATGCAATTTTGTTTTCAAATTAAGTGTTTTAAAGTGTTGAAAGATTTTTATTTTTTTAAAATACTTAAACACTGATATAAATTAGAATGAATATATGTGGCTGCATTGCGTAGATAGAAAATAAACATTTTTTACCTTTTTAATTTGTAATACCAAAAATTAAATAAAATTAAAGATATCGACTATACACTATAAAACCAGCAGTTTATACTTTATACCACCAAGGCACCAAAGCACTACAATGTGCTTACAAAGACAAAACACTATCAACATTCAACAATGTATAAACTTGACAAATTTGATAGTTTGATACAACAAACAATTCAGACATTAATAAACATGAAAAAGAGCAACTGATGTTGCTCTAGTCAACCCACAATTGAACCATCCTAAAAGAAGAGTTCTCCGGCCATCGTTTTCACCATGCTCTTCACCTGTTTGGCAACACAAGAAAGTTAAAAGATTTCGAATAGAGTCACAAGACGAACTACACCTAGATTGAGTGCACTCTCAAGTAGTAGTTACGAACTTTCTCGTAAATTTAAAAAGTTAAAAAAGATTATTTTGAATGCAAGTAGTAGAATAAAGACATTTCATATCTTATCTCCTAATTGTTCTTCAAAGTGAATATTATTTTACACAAGTGAATAAGTGATGATGAAGTTACCTGCTTTGTTGAGAGACCAATCTCTTGCAAGTCTTCAAGCTATAGGGCAACATAATAAGTAATAAATGATCAGAAACATACACAAATGATAATTTAAAGGAATATAATCCATTTTAAAATTTTCATGTTCTTACTTTCTTGAAATGCTCAGGAGAGTTATCACGGAGTTGAAGAATGTACTCAGCTCTCTTTTCTCCTATGCCCTGAATTTTTATGAAATATAATTCAAGAACGTCAGAATTAATACAATAATAATAATAATAAATAAATAAATAAATAATGTTTGATTACCTTTAATCGTTTCAAGTCTTCCCTATAAATCAAAAGAAATAGGTAGCAAATTAGAAAAAGAGGTGCATGAAAAGTAAACTAAGTACAAAGCTACTATTTGCCACTGGCGGTCTGGCGTTGGAGTGCAAGGAAATAGTAGAGGGCAGTAGTAATAGAGAAAAAAAGAATAAAAATAAATATCACTCACTTGCTAGCAGAATTCATAAACTTGAGATATTCTCCAACAAAGGTATCCTACCAAAGAAAAAAGTGCTAAGTAATTAGATGATGTGGTTATAGAGTATATATGTATACAATGAATACAATATATTATATATTATTTTTTTAAAAAAAAAAAGAAAAAAAAAAAAGCTCATACCTTTACTCTAGAATTGCGCTCACTAAATGCCTCCCAAGGACTGTTATACTTGGTGATATCCAATTTATCACTAACCCGAAAATCATTTTCAGCAACTGGAGTTTTAGGCTCCACTGCATCAAGGAGAAGAACTGCTTGGCTTCCCTCCTCTGGCAATTTTATGGCCAATGGAGTAGAAGCCTGCAACTGTTTTAGATTATCTGTTAATGCTCGCAGTCTTTCACTTAGTAATGGTGATCCAGCTTTGTTTGTGTTATAAACTTTGTTCTCCTTTTCAATATCACCACCTGTAATATGGTCAGATAACCCAAAAATAAATAAATTTTGGTATAATGACTTTGTTAACTAAATTACAAATAACCTTTGATCCAAAAAAATTACAAATAACCTACCTTCTCCGCTTGTGAATCCTATTGCTTCACCATGATTGCCTGAAGTAATTTCCATGCCTTGAGGAAAATTCTGAGAAATTAAAAATAAACAAAAACATAAATTGTACCCCAAGCAACTTTCTTACAATATATTAAAAGTGTGCACTTCTCTAAATTTTTAGCCACCAACACTTTGCCAAATAGCTTCTTTGCAACTGGTATAAAATTAGAATTGCTCCAATAAACAAAGATGAAAAGGTGCTAAAAACCATTTTAGTGTACTCTATCATCATCAATTAATATTCTCATTTTTGCTTAAGTTAATTCAAAAGGATGCTTGAAGTGATGAAGTCCAATACCTCTTCATGCAGGGAAGTTTTTATCATGGAAAAAGAATCTGTCTGAAAAGGTTCAGAAGGGACCTCTGCCTGCATCACAATCAAGACAAGATATTTGTTATTGTGTTATGTGCTTCGTTAAAAGAGTGTTTCAAATGATAATGCCCAATACCTCTTCTTCATGCATGGAATATGTTATGGTGGAAATAGTGTCATCTTGAAGAAGCTCAGACTTTGTGACTACAGAATCATTTGGTGGGACCTCTGTCTGCATTACAATCAGCATGAAAAGTTCAATATAATTCATCCAAAAAGACATTTCAAAAGATAGTATCCAATACCTTTTCGTGCAAGGAAGATGATGCTACGATGGAACCAGTGTCTTGGAGAAGCTTATACGACTTTGTGGCTAAAGAATCATCTGATGGCACCTCTGTCTGCAATACAATTAGTAACAAGTAACAGTTATGTGTCCTTGCTGATCCTTGTGATAACTTCTTTTTATTAAATTTACAATTAATACTAAGGAATGTCCATAAAAATTTCTACACAATAGAAAATGGTAATTCATCATGATTGTCAGGAGATGGGGAACTCAATCCAAGGTATAATAAAAGTTTCTTCAATAATCTAACAATTGATATATACCTGCTTAGAAGTCGTAACTTTGCCCCCACTAAACAGTTTCCTTCAAAATAGGAAACAAAAGCACATAATTTTAGTATATGATAGATACAACACTGTACCAACATCAATTAATAAAAGAAATGAACACTACCTCCCATTCCACACACTAGTGGATTTCTTTAAAGAAAAATCATGCACACCACTGTTAGTTTGCTTTTTCACACTTGATGGGGTAGTGGGTGGTCGTATGTCCCGTTTGGTAGAACTCTTACATTTTGTTGTAGAGTTTCGAACTGCCATCTTGATGTTTTCACATGATCTTGAAGCCAAACTTACAGTGTAGATAGTGTCTTGACAAAAGATCGGGTTCTAGAAACAAATGTCACAAATTAGCAATACTAACCATGTCACCATATTTTGTGACTAAAGCTTATGGAAGGTAGCAATAACATAATCAAACTTAAAAGAAGACAGTAAAATGCATACCATGCAAGCAAGCATCAATGTGTAATTGTTTCCCCCAAGAGACTCCTTTAGCATCCGAGTAAGTTTGTTTTCTCTATAAGGGACATGACTATTTGTGTTGAGTGCAAACACAACATTCATTATGGAATGCAGAGACCTGTTTATTCTAGTACTCTCTGCAAGTGTTGCTCCGTCTCTAATACTACTTCTGGAATCCTCATATCCTGAAAGACAACATTACATTACATATAAGGAAACAGACAATAAGTACAAAAAAACTGAGCACATATTTCACTTTTTGAAGTAAAAAAGAATTACCTGCTAAATCAACAAAGTTTATCACACCAACAGGTTTGTCAATCTGGTTTTCATCACGAGATGAAACATATACTATCAAACCCTTATGGCTCCTTCTTGGCACTCCAACTGATGTCTTCTGCACTTGTTTGCATAATGTGCCCCGAACAAAGCATATATCATGAAATTCTGATAAGGATTTTATTGAGACCTATAAGGAAATAACGAAGCAACATTAACATAGAAGTCAAATGTGATTATTAAATCTTTTGTGTTCAAATAAATAATTCATTTATCTCAAAGACTGCATAAGCTTGCCT